TAGATGACGTTTGTGCACTGGCACAAGGCTTCTTCCTCGTCCAATGGCAATAACACATTTTACTTAAATTCAAGTTGATTTAATTCCCTGGTGGGGGATGGAGATATAAATATATTTATGCGTGTGCAATGCTCTGTAAATGAAACAATTCAGCCAATGAGTGCTGGGGTGAGAAGATTCTGTCCTGCCTGTCCAAGAGGCTGACATGGGCTGCTGCGAAGACTGTCACACACTCAGCAAGACGGCCCACAGCCAGGGGGACACACAGAGCGTCTCAACAGACGTTTGCCTGCTGCTCTAAGTCCTCTTTCAAGCTTGCAACAATATCATCTCTATCTAAAAGCAACCAGTCTTGGGCTAAAATGCACAGTCCATTGATGGTTTAATACCAAAAAGTCACCAACATACCTAAGACCTTTGGGGAGGAAAAACAAATAAAGGGTGTGGCACAACATAGGTAAATACACACCCCTAAATGCCTCTCCCAGGCAAGTTCACTGGCCATGAGAACAAGAGAGTCCCCTTGCTTCTTATAAATTAAATGTCACAAAAGAAAGCCGGTGAGAGGAAGGGAAGAAAAAGTGACCTAAACAAGGTAATAAAACTATAAACTTAATGAGGGCCAGTTTACCGCTTTGCAGTCTCTCTACTTTATAACATGCCCTTATGAGCCCGCCTGTCAGGATAATGTAATTGAGAACTTGCTATAAAACATATGTTTAATGGAGCCAGGGGCCAAGGAAAACACTGTGTAATTGTAATAAGCAGGCTGGTAAGTAAAATGATATCTTTTAAAGGTTAAAATAGAGTCGCTTTCAGAACTGGGCCAGTCTGCTTCTTCAAATATTGCTTCGCTAATGATTTCTTCACTTCACTTGCAAAATGCATCTCTGAGGAGATTTGTTACAAATGTGATCCCTGCCTGGGAAGTAAACTGCTCACCATATAGAAGGCCCGGCATTTATTCTCCAGTTTTATATAACTTGGAGAATGATGTTAAAATTGGCAAATGCATCTGAGGCACACCAGGCCACAGGATTTTTTTTTAATCCACTCATTGTCCGATGCAGTTCAACTTGAAAGAGATACAACAGAGAAAAGATTGATCCTTTGTGGCCTATTCTCTTTCCAGAAGGTAAAAGCAATTCCCATCAACAGAGCCCCGTGATCTGAAGGGTCATCTCCATTCTGCTCTGGGGAATTTGTAGCTCATCGGGGCATGAATATTTTTAAAAATAAGAAAGAAAAGGGGGAAAATGAAAACTGATTCTGGGCTCTGGAAGGCCCCACCTGTAAAAGGCCCATCCCTAGTCTCTACCCAGTACTTGCTGACTCTGACCTCAAAGATCCACCTTTGGGGAACTAATAAATGAACTTCCTCAATAGTAACCTTTTATATTCATGCTTCATGGGCTTTTGAGGTTGACATTTAAAAAAGAACATTCAAATCCACCCATTCTACCCTATTCTACCAGCTGCTGTTTGTCATATGAGGCAATCAGAGGGCTGGGAACTGACAAGTGGTTGGAGGAAGACTGACTCCTACAGTGCTTTACCCTCAGAGAAGCCAGTGACTTCCTATGTGACCCTGGGGACTTCATGTCATCTCTGTGGAGCTTAGTCATAGCACCTGGAGAAACAGGGCTTGTATGAAGGATACCACAGGAGGGATTGACCTAGCAGATCTCTAGCTCACTTCCAGCTTTAATACAACAAAATTATATGCCAGAGAGCTTGATAAATGGGCCTCAATATCAGTCGTCTCTAGGAATGGATAAAGAAGATGTATATACACACAATGGAATACTATTTGAACATTAAAAAGATGAAATCTTGCCATTTGCAACAACATGGATGGAACTCACATTAAGTGAAATAAGTCAGAAAGAGAAAGATGGTACAATATGATTTCACTAATTTATGGAATATAGGAAAGCAAAACAAAACTTTACACTGACTATAGAATGGTGGTTACTAGAAGGGAAAGTAGGGGAAAAAATGAGTAGACAGGTCCCATGGATTGATGGTGAATGGCAAATGGACATTGGTGGTGAGTGTGGTCAGAAAATGTAATCTTGGGCCTCCCCGGTGGCGCAGCGGTTGAGCGCTGGGTTGCGAAGCTGCCCGCCGCCTCTGCAGTGCTGGTTCGATCCCCTGCTGCTCCCCGGCCACCGGAGGAGGGTCCCACATGGTGCACAGACCTCTCCTGCTGCCTGCTGCTCCCCTCAGCAGTGTACTTTGGTCCTTCTGCCTGCTCTGCTCCCCGCTCTGGCTCTGGTGAATTCTCTCACCCTCCTGTGCTTCTGACTGTACACGATGCTTGTATAAATAAATAAATAAATCTTTAAAAAAAGAAAGAAAGAAAATGTAATCTTGGAACTTATACAGCATGGTAACTAATGTTACCTCAGTAATGAAACATGTGTGTGTGTACATGTGTGTGTGAACACATGCATGCACACATATATATATGTACATATAAACCCCTTTCTCTTCTACAGTAGTAAAACTCATAAACTTTACTTCACATAACTGTCTAAAATAAAAACTACATTTCCCATCCTTTCTTGCAATTAAATGTGGCATGTGTCTAAGTTCTGACCAATAAGGTACAAAGAGTGATGACATGTCAATTTCCAGAAACCTTCCTTAAAAAGCAATTCACATTGTTGTTTTCCACGTTATCTGTGAAGCTACCTAGAAGAAACATGCAATGTTTGGAGTCTTTGCTACTTTTTTGGACCATCAAGATGAGGGCTACTCCTAAGGATGTGGACCAGATAGCTGAAAGGGAGCTGTACTCTCAATTTTTCTTCTAATCAACTCCCCTCATGAACCCCGGATTACTACCTCCAGCTCAAGAGAAATAAACCATTTCATCTAAGTTACTGTGACTTGGGACCCTGTTAATTGCAGATGATCTATGCATCATACACAACATATAATTATATATTTAAATTATTCATTCCATAAATACTGACAATGCATATATGTAATAGTTATTCAATAGAGTGATCTTTTGAAAACATGAAACTGTACAGAGTGATCTTTTGAAAACATAAAACTGTTACAGCTCTTGGGCTTCGAACATTTTTAAAGCTCCCATTATATAAAGACTAAACTCTAACTGCTACCATGGCCCACAAAGCCTACGAAATCCTCTCTGACAACATCTTGCACCTTTCCTTGTCATGGCTCAGTGTTGTCCCAACCACAAGTCATCCTTCTGCTCTGGAAATTGTCAAGCTTGTTCTGGTCTGGCAGATTTTTACAGTAGCCATTGCTCTTCTAGAAACACTCTGTCCAACTCCCTGCATGACTCTTTTGCTCTAGTCATTGAGGTTTCTGTCCAAAGATCCCCATCAGAGAGGAATTCCTTAAACACAATGGTTAAGGTGATTTTCACACACACATATTCACACTCATGCTCACACTCACACCACACAGATTAACTGCCTGTCCTTGTATTGTATCCTCTCCATGATGTTGAGATGTTCTTATTACTTCACAGAGCATTTTCTCCAGGTAGTATATAAAACCCCAAATAACCAGGACCACATTGTTCTTCCCTGTATCTGGAAGCCCAGAATGGCCTCTGGAACACAGTAATCTTTCAGTATTTCGTGATTAAATTAACAGTGATCCAGCGCACTATGCTTGGGTTGAGGGAGGGGTGATGAGTAGAAAGAAAGTAGAAGGTACTGGCTCTGGTCGAAATGAGAGCACAGTGCACTTACTTGGGCCCAAAACCTTTGGTGTCAGAATTTTTCAAACCTTAAAAAGATCATTTGTTGCATATATTCATGGAGCATGCAATACCCTGAGTAGAGTTTGGAATGGTATCCCAAATCAAATGTGTTAATACCTTTGTAGAAAATAGGATATTTACACTAAGTGGGATAAAGACTTAAAATACCGGGCCTCCCCGGTGGCGCAGCGGTTGAGCGCTGGGTTGCGAAGCTGCCCGCGGCCTCTGCGGCGCCGGTTCGATCCCCGGCTGCTCCCCGGCCACCGGAGGAGGGTCCCACATGGCGTGCAGACTTCTCCTGCCGCCCGCTGCTCCCCTCAGCAGTGTACTTCGGTCCTTCTGCCTGCTCTGCTCCCCGCTCTGGCTCTGGTGAATTCTCTCACCCTCCCGCGCTTCTGACTGTACCCAGTGCATGTATAAACAAAAAAACAAACAAACCAGCAAACAAATAAATAAAGCATGCCTCTAAAAAAAAAAAAAAAAAAAAAAAAAAAAAAGACTTAAAATACCCTTTTGCTAGCTCAGGGAACATTTGGCCTCAAATACAGGTCAGATATTGCTGCCCAAAATGATGGAGAAAATAATTGTTAATTTTTGGAGCTTTTTGGATTTCAGGATGCAAATAAGGGGCTGAACCTGTATTTGAAACATCTCTGGAAAGACATCTATAAGACCATGACATAGTACTACTATTTCTTGTATAAGCCTTTAAACATAAACATTATAAATGCATAGCTATCTTTCCTTCTTATTCCATCCAGCTTACTACTTAATGTTCAAAGAATATGTGTTTTATCATGCCTCCAAATTCTAAGAAGATTTAAAGATATATTTATTTATGCATACAATATCTGGGGTACAGGCCAGAGATGCAAGGGGTGAGAGGATTCACCAGAGACAGAGTGGGGAACAGAACAGGCAGATTGAAGTACACTGCTGAGGGGAGCCACAGGCGAGTCAGAAGAGGTCTGCTGTGCCATGTGGGTTTCTCCCTGGGAAGCCAGGGATTGAACTCGTGCTTCAGAGGCTGCGGACTGCTTCATAATGTGGTGCTTAACCCCTTGCGCCACCAGGGAAGCCCCAAATTCTAAGAATATTTAGGGAAGAAAGATTTGTGTACCTGGTGATTTGGTGGCTATAGAACAACTCAAAGGACTTGGGAATGAGGGTGACCATGTGACTAAGACAGTAATAGCTGACATTTATTGAGCATTGGCTATAGGACAGGAATGTTCAAAGTATTGCACATGTATAACTTACCTGGCAGGGGAAACACCATGTTGACAAAGGTGGTTTTCCCAGGCCGAGTCTCCCCCATTGCACTCCAGGCGTGCTGACTCCTGAGATTTCCCCAAATGTGGGAAACTTGACTGCATAATTTGTGGTAGTGGGGGATTGTGTTTGCGCTCTCCCCTGGGGGAAAAAAAAAAAGTATTGCACATTTAGTTAGCAATTCATTCAAATTTCACAACACTAGAAGTAGACAATACTATTATCTTCATTTTACAAATGAGGACCCTGGAGTCAGAGAGGTTAAATAGCCTATATGCAAATCACAGAGCTGACAAGAAGCAGTGTTGCGACACAAACATAAGAAATCTGGTGCCTGTGCTTCTGACTACCTCTCCACAGAGTTTTAGGGGTGACTGATTTTGTTGAGGGATTATGAAAAGAACACAAAATGTGAATTCTGATTTCAGTTATTTTTCCACTTTCTACCATGACTACCCCTTCTTTACTTTAAATCCTAGCCAGATGTGCAACAGAAAACCACAAAATTGAGCATCATCAATTTGAGGATGACTACAATGAAGAAATAAGGAATCAGACCTGGAAGAGGAGCAAATAAAGGGTAAAAAGGGAATCATATTCTGAAGGGAAAAAGAAAGGGGTCCAGAGGTAAAATAAGTAGGACCAAAAGTTAAGACCAAAGGTAGGAGGGACATCTGAGAAGGGCAAAGGACAGGGCCCAGAAGCCTTTCTCTGGTAGCCAGAGCCCCAAAGGTCTAACCAGGTCAGCACGTGCTGATGAACTTGCTGCACATTGGGAGGCTACGCCCTTTGGTGTCTTGGCCTGGGCTGTGTGCTCCTGCTGACTTACTGTGGCCATTGACTTAGATCCACTGACTTCCATCTCTCAGCTGTGTGATTCCTTCCCAATATAAGGAGAGCAGCTGCCCAGTCTCACAACATTGAACCAATGTTATTAAATATTTACTGTGCTACATATTAAAAAAACTAGCAACAACAAATGTTGGCGAGGATGTGGAGAAAAAGGAACTCTTGTGCACTGTTGGTGGGAGTGCAAACTGGTCCAACCACTATGGAGAGCTGTGTGGAGATTTCTGGACCTACTAAACATAGAGCTTCCATATGATCCAGCAATTCCACTCCTAGGTATTTACCCAAAGGACACAGAAACATCAATTCCAAAGAGCACCTGCACTCCTATGTTTATAGCAGCACTGTTTACAATAGCTAAGCTTTGGAAACAACCCAAATGCCCAAAAATAGATGACTGGATCAAGAAGATGTGGTACATATATACCATGGAATATTACTCAGCATTCAAAAAAGATAAACACATGCAATTTGCAGCAACATGGATGGCACTGGAAGGGATCATGCTCAGCGAAATAAGCCAAAATGAAAAAGAAAAATACTGGATGGTCTCACTCATAGCAGGAATCTAGAAAACTTAAATAAGGGACCAGGAAAATGAATATAAGAAAGTGAAAATCAAAATCAACAAAAAACTATGAACCAGAGACACTTTTTGGGGGGTGGGGGGCGGGAGGGGAAGGATTGGGGTCAGAATGGGGCGTTTGCAATTGTATGGGGGAATATAAAAATAAAATTTAATATTAAAAAAAAAAAATATTTACTGTGCTATGTCAACACTGAAGATCCAAAGATGAACAAGATAGGCCTTGCCCTATAGGATTTCATAGTCTCCCATGAAGGACAGACCTCTTGGTACATAGCACAACTTTCATTCATCCCATTCATTCAATAAATAGTTATTGATCATCTACTATCTGACAGGCACCAGGTATAGAGCAGAACAAGGTGTTGCAAAGTCCCATGTTTACAGGAGTCCAGCAGAAGAGCACTCAGGGCCCACAGGAACTAGGGTCATAATATAAGGGGCAGGGTTGGGTTGGGTGGAGGGACTGTGGTCATGGAGGGTATAATCTCATAAAGGAGTAAGATGCTACTCAATTCCATCCAACCGTTCTGTCCAAGAATGCAGAATCTTCCAAATTATGGAAGAATCCAAAATTCAGAATTTTGTGTTGTATCTCCCAGCATTTAAATGTTGTAGCTAACTGAAATGGTTTTAACATTGAACAGTCCAACAAAGCAGGCAGGCAGGCCACCATGCTGCAATCTTCTGAAAACATTCATAATGCAAACCTCATTAAGTGCATGTGTCCCTCTCACCCACTGTGAGTCATTCCCTGTCCCCCGCCCCTCCCCACCAGCCATGGGAAAGTCCACTCCTCTGTCACTCTCTACTCTCTCTGCCCTCCAGGCCTCCCAAGCCCAGGGGTCTCCTTCTCCCATCTACCTGCTTGTTCTGCCCTTTTCTTGTCCCTGTCCTTTAAGTCAGCCTATCTGTTTCCTTCCAACAAACATGGTCCCAACCTTTAACCATGGACCCTATAAATGTTTTCACTGCCTCAGCCTTTTTTGTTGCTGTCTTCTCACTCAGGTAAGGAAAGCAAAAAACTAATTTTTCAGAATTCAAGTCAGCTGGTTAGGGAGAAAAGAAACCATGTAATGCACAGATTAGTCCTACTTATATGGGGCTTGTGGTTCAACTCTTCCCACCAACAACTTTATTACCCTGGGAACTAGTTCCAGTTTTTTTCAAAAACTTCTAGGTATTCTGAGTTTTTAAGTGTTTTCTTCCATAGGGCTGAACTCTTATTTCCTTTGAAGTTAGGAAACCCTGAAATAGACTTCTTTCTAAGACTGGGATTTATTACAAACTAAAAGGTCAGTAGTCTTTGTAAGGAATAGCAAAATATAACATATATACTATCTATTATATATGTATATGCTCATATGTGTATATACACATATAAAGAAAGAGAGAGAGAGACGATCTTATAAGTGCTACTTCTAAAAAGAACTGTTGGAAAAAATAACTTTCATAGGTTTGTTATCAAAATCTCAAAAGATGTTTTCATTTTCTAGAAAACCTTAAGCCTTTGTTGCAAAGATATGAAACATCATAAAAACGATTGCAGGTGACTAGCCAGTCTTTTGTTATATCTCAAAACATAAGACAAACAATAATGTGGGCTTTTTTTTCCTTTTAAGCAAAAAAAAGAAACTCAATATTAGTCACAGAAAGCCTCAACATATGGGAATAGGTGCTGGGCAGGGGGTGGGGGAACCCACACTTCATAGTTTTTCAAACCTTTAAAACTGAAAAAATATGTATCCCTGCTTTCTGTATATGCACATAATGTAAAATTTCATCAGCCACAATATTTTAAAAGACAGAAATCCTGAGATATATCACATCTAAATGGAAATATCATCTAAGGAAGCACCATTTATCAAAATCACTTTGAAATGCAGTGGAGGGTGTGATGGCATTATGTAGATCTCAAATATCTATGGGTGAATGAAATCGGGTAACCTTAGCAACCCCAGGTACATCCATGCAGCTATAAATCAAATGTCAGCACTCTGAGCTATGCACAAAATAAAGAAATAATTCTTTGAAATATTCATAACACTATGCAGTGTATTATTTTGTAAGTCTGTCCCCATTATGCATTTTTGAATCTAACTAAAAAAAAAAAAATAGACATAACATTTGCATAACGCACCACCCCAGCCCAACCTCCCACCCACCACCAAACAGCATCCACAAGAGCTTCTAGAAAGAGGGAGACCCACACTATCTACTAATGGCCACAGCAGAACTCCAGTTCTTGTATGAGAAGGAAAGGGAATTTTATATACAGGCAGCTAGTCTGACAGCAATCCAAAAGGTTTTATATTGATTATTCCATTAAAAAAAAAACAGCTAAATAAGATATGAGCGTTTTGGTAAAAGTGTCATGATATAGGTACATTTTTGCCTATGTGAAAGTAATATATTCAATATTTTACCCTCTGAAACTAGAAGAGATTTGATTTAAAAATAAATTCTTGCCAGCAAGAAAAAATACTAGTTTTGTAATCGGGGGTACCTTGTCAATATAGGATTGTAACAGGCAGCACAAAATAAAGACTTATTTCATTTATACTTTAGATTTTTCTTTGATAATTTAATCTGTTTGGAGGGGTATATATATATATATATATATATATATATTTTTTTTTTTTTTTTTTTTAGCACCTCGTTTCTTAAATTCTGTCTTTGCCTGTTCCTGGAACTGACACGCACTGCCTGAATATCATAATACCTGTGATGAATTCCAAAGGCCATCAAACTACAATGGCTGTGACATAGGGCTCGGTAGGATTCCAAATCCCACACATGAAAATATGCTGATCCACATAAAGAAGGCTAAAATATGCAGGCTGACTAATTGTTTTGCTGTAAAAGTTTTATAAGCACAATCAGCTTAAAATATCCCACCCAGCTAACCAACTGAGTCATCTTGATTCATGTAAGTGACTGCTAGAGGAAATAATATCACTTTTTATACACAATTAGATAGGTGTCATTTTACAAGTGAGTTTTTTTCACTCTAAGTATGTGGAAAGTGACACCAAATGGACAAGGAGGAATTAAGCTAGGAATTAAAGTCATTCTAAGGGAAATCATCTCTTTATCCTCAATCTATTTTTTTTTTCCAAGTTACTATCCTTTTTAAGCTGTATTAATTGTTCTGGACCTATAGCACATGCTTCAATGAAAATAAATTACTTTATTTCTATTACACCACTAATGGCTGTGTGACTTAATTTCATTAGCTCGAACCTGTTGAGAGCATCTCGATTTCCATAGCAGGACGCACTTAAAATGAAAAGATTCTTTCGATTCTCAATTAACAGAATCGTTCTCTTTCAACTGAAATGAATGTTATTGAAACCAATTAGCATAGACTGGAAAATCTCTCGCTAATGAGGGGAGTGTGGGTGAGTAAACAGCAATGAAAAGATGAAATTAGAGGAGAGCCTCTTCTCGTTGGCTTGAATAATTACATGCTTAGTTGCCTAATTGTCTGGTGAAAAGCGCCGCGGTGATAGTAACAGATTGCCATGTTCATTAGGCGGCAAAAGGCCACCTGCTGTAAGCTTCATTTTCCTGCCGTCGATATACACGTGTTTATCCCTGGGGATTGATATTTGGACACAACACTAGCTGGGAAAAGCAAATGAGCTTGCCAATATGCTGCAATATTGTGTCCTTTATGCCAAGATACAGACGCTTAATATGTCAAATA